ACACTAATGACACATATACAATTCAGTGACATTGGTTACATTCCTTGAGTTGTGCCATCATCTCACCCTCTTTTTTTCTGAGTTGTTCCTCCCTCATTAACATAATCTTATTTCCCCCATAAGTTTACCATCTAACCTGTTGAGTTACTATTGTGAATTTGATCTCATATAGCTAGACCTGGAAGAAACACAATGTTCAAGGAAGACATTCTTTGCTAAATATGTATTAAGTGTAAGATTAAATAGAGTCCAGCTCTTATCTTACAAATCCAGTGGGTTCGAGAGGGGCATGATCTGTAACGAGAAAACTTCTGGATAAGAGATAGAAGGATAGATGCAGTTAGGGCACAGGAGCCCTGCAGCGTAGACACTCCATGGCCCAGAACTTTATTCAACCGGGTCGATATACACTCCCAGTCATCTAGCCGACATCTCCTTACTGGTTTACACAAAGAGACAGTTAACAACGATCTGAGGGTCAACAAAGAAACATTAATACATCAGCCAAGCTGTTCACAGATGGGAGGGAGGAGAGTGTAAGGAACAGGGAGTAACAGATATTTTTCAGACTGCTGTGCTTCTTCAGCTTTAATCAGGCAGCATGAGGAAAAGTGTCCATTTTATCTCAGCAGAGAGTCAGGCCAGCCACTGCTTCATCAGCTCTTTAGATTGAGCATGTTCCCACGGGCCTCGAACCATGGAAGGTGGTGGTCTTGTCCCATTTACCTAAGGAGCAAACAACAAATAAGCAAAATTATTGTTTGATCTTAAAACGTCTGAGGATATTCTTGGTTTATGCTTTCCTTTAAAGATGATCTGAGGGCAAATTAGTTTGTTTATTTTTTAACAATTGCACTGACATGTCACATATCATACCTTTCCATAGTTCCATCACATTCATACGAGTTATGCAACCATCACTACTATCAATTCCAGGATGTTCCTTCTTCCTGGTACTCATTGTGGTTAGCTCCCCATTTCCCACTGGCCTCCCCTGCCTTGTCCCTTTGAATCTATTAATCCAGTTATTACATCTATAGATTTACCTATCCTGGTTTCATATATATAAAATGTCATACAAGCCAAGACACAATACAAGCAAATGGCCCGGTAATGACAGAATGAAACAGTGAAAAACCTCAGTTGAAAACAAAGCAGAAGATATTGCAAACTGGAATAATTACACATTGGATCAAGAGGGAGATCAATGATAAGTGGTCACATTTTGACCTAACTTCAACTGCAGTAATCTACCCTACTATGTACTCTGTCTGATAATAAGATCTTTCCCATCTCTGGTTCATAGTCAGAGAGAATTCACCAGAGTCTTGATCTTCCTGGCAGATCCTGTAAATGGGGTTTGAGCTTTCATTGTCATCCACAGACTTTTGCAAACTGGGCATTCAGAATTTAAGCTCTGATACTATTCCCTCCTCTGGGTTTGGATTTTATTTACGATTCTTGGATCACACAGGCTGGTATGCATCTTCCATGTGGACTTAGCTGATGTCTCACTTTGATGGCTGCTTATTTTAAGTAAGACACTCCTTGAAGACACCGGATACTATTATTTTTGCTAGATGGGCACCATCTACTTTTTCAACCACACTTTTCTATAGCACCCATATCTTCACTTTATGGGGGTAATTATTGAGCAGGTTCATGTCATTAAAAACTAATGGTTCTTACATTAGGGCTTCAATTAAGGGTGAGCCCCAAATCCACTCATATATCTATGGTTTATATATGTCCCTGGTTAATTTGACAAACATCATTATTTTGCTGAAAGACATTATACATTATCTCCATTTGGCATATAGTTTTATTGACATTACCATTAATTTAGCCAAAGGGATAGAATTTAAAATACTGTTGAGAAAAAGAGAGTATATATGTACAGGGCAGGTTTTTAGACCAAAATACACGGATTACTGATTTGTACAGATTAGCAAGTTAGGTGGCTGGACACTATTTGAACTAACAATGCGAGTTGGAGATAGGGAAAAATTTTGTATAGTGCTCATTCACAATGCAAAACTGGTCTATAAATGCCATAAAAAGGCAAAGAATCTATAAAAATAACACATATGGCAGCCTTGAGTTGCTGATATTGGGTACCCCCAATCTCTTCCTGTGCCTGACTCCATTTCTTTCTCTTTTGCTCCAGCACAATCGAGAGTAATTGTGCTTTGGTTGGCTACTTCCAAGATTTTAAGACCCACAGGCACTACTTAACAAATCAGGAGGTAGCACAGAAGCACTAAACATTAGGTGTCCCAAGAAGCCATGACCCTAAACCTTCAAACCAAGAAACCAAAACCCATGAGGTGTTTGGTTGTACATAGCAGTTTAGTAGTATTACTTTCCCTCACTAAATTTAGCTGTACCACAACTTTTGACAATTTTACAGGTACAACTTTTTTTTTTTTTTTTTTAAGCTCCTGGCATCAGCTCCTCCCCCTTCCTGCCCTCCCCTCCCTCCCTCCCCCATGTCCCCTTGATAATTTATAAATCCTTCTTTTTTATTCCCCCATGTCTTACACTGACTGCTGTCTCATTTCACCCACTTTTCTGCTGTCCATCCCCCTGGGATGGGGGCCATATGTCAATCATTGTGATCAGTGTCCCCTTACTCCCCTCCCCCCACCACTTACCCTCCTTTTATTGCTGCTCTGCTTATTGGTCCTGAGGGGTTTATCTGTTCTGGATTCCCTGTGTTTCAAGCTCTTATCTGTACCAGTGTACATTTTCTGGTCTAATCAGATTGGTAAGATAGAATTGGGATTCATGGTAGTTGGGGGGAGGAAGCATTAAAGAACTAGAGGAACGTTGTATGTTTCATCGGTGCTATACTGCACCCTGACTGGTTTGTCTCTTCCTTGTGACCGTTCTGATGGGGGTGTCCAGTTGACTACTGACGGGCTTAGGGTCTCACTCTGCTTTTCCTCTCATTCCCATTGATATGCTTTTTGTTTGTTTTGTTTTGGGTCTTTGATGCCTGATACCTGACCCCATCGATACTTCATGGTAACACAGGCTGGTGTGCTTCTTCTATGTGGACTTTCTTGCTTCTCAGCTAGATGGCTGCTTATTTATCTTCAAGCTTTTAAGACCCAAGACACTATCTTTTGATAGTTGGGCACCATCAGCTTTATTCACCACATTTGCTTATGCACCCATTTTTTCTTCAGTGAATGTGTCAGGGAAGGTGAACCTCACAGAGTGCTGTGTTAGTATAACAAATTGTTCTTGCATTGCGGGAATACTTGAGTGGAGGCCCAATATCCATCTGCTACCATAATACTTTATAAATAAATATATGTACATAGCTCTATTTCCCTGTCATTGTATATAAATGTATTTACATGTATACATGCCTGTATTTAGACCTCTATAAAGGTCCTATGTCTCCCAGTTCTTTCCTTTATTTCCTTTTACTTTCCTCCTGTCCCACTGTCATGTTTGGCCTTCATTTGGGTTTTGGTAATTCATCTTGGCTACATTGCCTTTGATCATGCTCCCCCAAGCATCCTATGCCCTCCTCGCCATCAATTTTAGATCACTTGTTGTTCCCTTGTCCCTGGGTTTGTTGGCACCCCCCTCCTTTTACCCCATCACGCCCTCTTTCGTGTACCCCTGGAACTGTTGGTCCCATGTTCTCTCTTCCAGATTGTTCATCCAGTCTATCTTGTCCAGATAGACATGCATAGACAATAATACACACAAAAATAAAGCAAAACAAAACATAACAAAAAAAGAAGACAAAATATAAATCAACAGCTAATACAACAAAACAAAACAAATAAATAATAAAGAGAAAAAGAAAAACCAACAGCAAAAACTGAGAAGCACTCAAACAATTCCAGGTCTGTCTGTCGACCTTTATGAGTGTTTT